ACCTGGTTACTTGATTATTTAGGCCTCGTGTTGTATGACTGATGTTTGGACTATGTTAATGTTCCCTAAGCACGTTGTATGACCTGGTTACTTGATTATTTAGGCCTCGTGTTGTATGACTGGTGTTTGGACTAAGTTAACGTTCTCTAAGCACGTTGTATGACCTGGTTACTTGATTATTTAGGCCTCATGTTGTATGACTGATGTTTGGACTATGTTAATGTTCCCTAAGCACGTTGTATGACCTGGTTACTTGATTATTTAGGCCTCGTGTTGTATGACTGATGTTTGGACTATGTTAATGTTCCCTAAGCACGTTGTATGACCTGGTTACCTGATTATTTAGGCCTCATGTTGTGTGACTGATGTTTGGACTATGTTAATGTTCCCTAAGCACGTTGTATGACCTGGTTACTTGATTATTTAGGCCTCGTGTTGTATGACTGATGTTTGGACTATGTTAATGTTCCCTAAGCACGTTGTATGACCTGGTTACTTGATTATTTAGGCCTCATGTTGTATGACTGATGTTTGGACTATGTTAATGTTCCCTAAGCACGTTGTATGACCTGGTTACCTGATTATTTAGGCCTCGTGTTGTGTGACTGGTGTTTTGGCTTTTTAATGGCCATTAGAAAATGCTTTATTATTCATAGGTCGAAAAACGAAATTAACAAGATGTGTATTGAAAAGGTCAGCTATCATGCACAGACTCTAAAATCTTCCTCCAAGTTTAAAACAACCTAAATATATTTGGTTTTATCTTACTTTCATTTCAACCGTTCTAATGAGTGACCCATCTTCCCCTATATCTTCTAATGAGTGACCCATCTTCCCCTATATCTTCTAATGAGTGACCCATCTTCCCCTATATCTTAATGAGTGACCCATCTTCCCCTATATCTTCTAATGAGTGACCCATCTTCTCCTATACCTTTTAATGAGTGACTCATCTTCCCCATATCTTCTAATGAGTGACCCATCTTCCCCTATATCTTAATGAGTGACCCATCTTCCCCTATATCTTCTAATGAGTGACCCATCTTCTCCTATACCTTTTAATGAGTGACCCATCTTCCCCTATATCTTTTAAACGAGACGAGTGTTTTAAAATACTACTTAGCACACTCGAAATTATACTCAAGTGACAAAGCATTTCCACCTGGAGGAAAGCCATGTCAAGGCAGCATGTCTCACATGTAAATATGTTTATCATGTCACAACTTTATCCACACAAAATTACTCTTACCACATTAAAGGTAACTTGTATAATGCAGTGTCCACTACATCGCAGTGCATTATTTACTGTGTCCACTGCACTAAATGTAGGTCTTTATACAAAACAGTGCATTATTTACTGTGTCCACTGTACTAAATGTGGGTATTTATACACCGCAGTGCATCAGTTACTATGTCCACTGCACTAAATGTGGGTCTTTATACACCGCAGTGCATTATTTACTGTGTCCACTGTACTAAATGTGGGTATTTATACACAGCAGTGCATCAGTTACTGTATCCTCTGTACTAAATGTGGGTCTTTATACACCGCAGTGCATCACCTACATTTAGTACAGTGGACACAGTAAATCAGTAACTGATGCACTACGGTGTATAAAGACCCACATTTAGTACAGTGGACATAGTAACTGATGCACTGCGGTGTATAAAGACCCACATTTAGTACAGTGGACACAGTAAATGATGCACTGCGGTGTATAAAGACATTTAGTACAGTGGACACAGTAAATGATGCACTGCGGTGTATAAAGACCCACATTTAGTACAGTGGACATAGTAACTGATGCACTGCGGTGTATAAAGACCCACATTTAGTACAGTGGACAGGGTCTTTATACACCGCAGTGCATCATTTACTGTGTCCACTGTACTAAATGTGGGTCTTTATACACCGCAGTGCATCAGTTACTATGTCCACTGTACTAAATGTACGTCTTTATACACCGCAGTGCATCAGTTACTATGTCCACTGTACTAAATATGGGTCTTTAAGAACCAGGAACAGGTTTCATGAGCACATGAGGATAACAAAGACCACCCTCCCAAGACACTTCACTTCCCCTACCCACATGACAGTCTTCAGTTTTAATTCGCGGCGCACAAGACCTATTATAAGACGAAAGTGTACGATGTTTTTGAAAACAGCGTTTCATAACACTTTCCGAAAATTGACAACTAAAAATTTCATAGAAATATTAACCCTAAACTAAACAATTTTGGAAGCAAATACTGTTTTACTTATAAAGCTTGTAACAAGTTTAACATTTTAAGTGTGAGAGCACATAGATAATATAATGTCACCCTGGAGACCGCGAAAGGTATTAACGAAACGTCAAAGCACGTGCACGTTGCTAAGCGATATCTATTAAATGACAGAGATCATAGATGTCGCCATATTTAAACTCTCTAACAACAATATCCTGTTTTATGTAGTTTATCGTTATTTTTTCAAAAACATTTACAATAAAAATTTGATTACTGCTTATACTTTACAATTATAACACTAGGTGTTATCCATGAAGCTTTTACTCCAACACCACAGCCCGGAACGGGGACCGTCCAGGTGGGAAATATCCTACCACCCCACCCTCCTCTACACAGTCAGATTGTCTCGTCAGTGTACTGTTATTCTTGAAAATTTTAACTGCTGTATTATTGATGTTTTATTAAACCTTCCGCTATGTATTACTATTTGCATGGAAGAAATTACTTCAAAGTCAACTATAAAAAGTTACATTTCTGAAAAGGAGAAAAGTTACCTGCGAATTGTATCATTATTCTAATTGTATATGTAACAAAGTTTTCAATTCTTACTTTAAAGCTATCACCGTAGGTTTCATTTTCGTTTCTAAGGCTATCACCGTAGGTTTCATTTTCGTTTTTAAGGCTAGCACTGTAGGTTTCATTTCCGTTTTTAAAGCTAGCACTGTAGGCTTCATTTTCGTTTTTAAAGCTACCACTGTAGGTTTCCTTTTCAGCAATACAAAGAAATGGAGCAAAAAGTCAGCAGCACGCTAAGCGGTTTGCACGATGAACTTAAGGGGACCTACTACCCCCTCACGGGAATGGATAAAGCCACCCAGCAGCAACTCATTGACGATCATTTTCTATTCAAGGAGGGAGACAGGTAAGTGTGAGCATAAATTATTACCTCATCCACCAGATGGCGCTGTGTAACAATGACATATTTGGTTGTTTAATCCCCACTGAATTTACTCTACTTTTACACATTCTCTTTAAGAATGGAATAAAATGTTTTATTCCTCGGAATATTTTACGTTTAACTATTTTGGTTGGAAATACTTATTTGAAAGTCAAAGAGGACGTCTCTTTCAAGGTTAAAAATAAAACTAATGAATTTGTTATAGGAACCCTTTTTTTTTTCAGGTTTCTCCAAACGGCCAATGCGTGTCGCTACTGGCCAGCTGGGCGTGGCATCTTTCACAATGACACCAAAACCTTCTTGGTCTGGGTGAACGAAGAAGATCACCTCCGAATCATCTCCATGCAGAAGGGGGGAGACCTCAAGACAGTGTACAATCGCCTGGTCACTGTAAGACCGTGATTTTTAAATTTAACTGCTAAAAGTAGTTTATTAGTTCTTAAGTACAAAACTGCACGATATACTGGGCCCACCACAAGGATCGAACCCCGAATATTCGCGTTGTAAGCCCTTACCTCCACTTTTTCAATGATTTTCAGTACCTACCTCACTCCATGTGAATGTTAATGCAAGAAAGCATTTCGAAAGATTTGTTTTGTTGTTTGAAGTTAAGCACTAAGCTACACAATGGGCTATCTGTGTTCTGCCCATCACGGGTATCGAAACCCGGATTCTAGCGTTATAAGTCCACAGACATACCGCTGTGCTACTGGGGGGCTTCGAAATATTAAAATTAATCTTATATACTGTAGTGTGCAAACTGTTTTGTGGCACATTCCCCCTGCCAAAGATGTATTTTGTTGCACTCCCGTATAACCTATTTACGTAAATATAAACTGTACATATTATTTTCCCACGCTAATTGTAGTTACTACTTAACAGAAGTAAAATTTATACAGTAGTTTTTAAAACTTCTATATTTTTGAACTTGAACTTTTAGATATAATTTATATGTGCGATCCCTACCGACTCTCAACGCCCTCTTGTGGGCGCGTCCTACGGTTTGAGCACCAGGCCTGTATAATACTTTAGTATTTAAGGTTTAGGAAGTTAGTTAATTTTGCTTTACCAGTGCGCTAATTGTTTTAGTTTTTGCCGTCAGCAAACGATTTTTTTCAACCGTTTATTTAATGAATATATGCTCCCCTAGTTCTTCAACCACAGTATGACCACGTGTTTATATGTTAGATTATTTATCGAAGACGTGTCAAAGTTTCTTTTTTCTCACTTAGGCCGTGGACACAATAGAATCGAAGCTCCCTTTCTCTCACGATGACCGCTTTGGCTTCTTGACCTTCTGTCCAACCAATTTGGGCACGACCATGCGAGCCAGTGTCCACATTCAGTTACCCAAACTGGCTAAAGATCGCAAGGTCTTAGAGGACATCGCATCAAAGTTCAACTTACAAGTCCGAGGTTAGATTCTTTTTACTCGGTCAGTTTTAAAACACACGTGAACAACTCTTGGTAAGAAACAAATACACGATATTATTTTATCAATAGTGAAATGGAAACAGATATGAACATACCTACTTCTAAAAGGTAGTACCGCAGAAGACATGAAATAGCTAAAATATAATTAAAGACAAAATATCAAGAAAACTATAAGAAGCACATTTTACTTAATGATACAATTACTACATAAAGTTTTAGTGTATCTCATAAAACCACGTGACGATTAGCACTCTTATTATCCTTCAAGTGACCTGGTCAGTAGTAGAAAGGTTAGCGTATTTAATATATTTAGTGGTCAGGCTCTTACAAAAATAGACAAATTTAATTTTGATAACATTTTGGCAACTTACAATTATTTCACAGCTATTCAAAAAATAAGATCTTATTAAAACTGATCGTTCCTTTTTTAAGTAAACAAACTTTCACAATGAAGTCACAAATTTTAAGAACAAGTAAAACATTTAATCCACAAGTTAAACTACTAACGAACAATCCCTGTTTCAGGTACCCGCGGTGAGCACACAGAGAGTGAGGGCGGGGTCTACGATATCTCCAACAAGCGACGACTTGGACTCTCCGAGTACCAGGCCGTTCGAGAGATGCAGGACGGAATCCAGGAGATGATCAAGATGGAAAAGGCTGCTGCCTAAATCCTATGAGAACATTTTTCTATCTTTCTATAGCCATAACTACCATCTCCGTTAACAGTTGTTATGAATTTTGTTGACAACCAAACACAGGATCTTTATTTCTTCCAAAAACCAGTAAGGAAACCATTTGTAAATATCTGTAACTTACTTAAGTTAGGGTTACAAATCTTTAAACTGTTTTAAATCCCGCGTCATAGATTTCGTAAAGTCTTCCAAATAGGTGAAAAAATGTTCTTTTTATTAAATAACTGCCAACAAAGCACGAGTTTCCAACTCTCTATGCAAATCAATTTCCTAAAGAGCGCCACCTGCAACCCATCCACTTCAATGAAAATTAAATTAAAAAAAATTGAATCCAAATCACTGGCCTTTTGTCCATTTATTTATTGGTCATGTAAATTCTTACAGACATTGCGATAAAGAAATGTTAGCCCTCTGCACAAAAACCCCGAGATCATTGAACCACAGTTTATTTAGGCTCAACTCTCATATTGTCGATTACAAACCAGCCGAATAGGGAGAAAAGTGAGTTTATTTTAGTAGGCCTAGTTTATTTTAGGGTTAACTCTCAAATTGTCGATTACAAACCAGCCGAATAGGGAGAAAAGTGTGTTGATTTTAGTAGGCCTAATAGAGTTTTTAATGACATATCTTTTACGTTAAATAACTACATTTCACTTGAGTTATAGAATTATTATAATACGTAAAAAATCTCTCGTCATCTTTAGAACAATAACTTCACTTTCTTCAGTAATATATTCCTCTTTTTTACGAGAAATAATACTGTAAAAATTCATAATATTAACAAATAATCATAACCTATATGGAATTATAGATACAATGTTCAAACATGTTATAAGGATTTTTTTTTTAATATCATCTAATTTGCATAAATAAAAATATCTTATGGAACATAAAAGCATTCTCTCTGGATATCTTGTAAAATTCGCCATTTTGTTGCTTTGGACCCGAAAATGTTAAAAAACTCCATTTGTTTTTGTTTCAGTGAACAACTAATTGATTATCAATTCTAAAGTTTACTTTTAGTTACTTATAATGCCCTCCCCCGTGTCCCAGCGGTAAGTCGGTGGGCTTATAATGCTAAAAAGCAGGTTTCGATGCCCTCGATGGGCAGAGCACAAGTAGCCTATTATGTAGCTTTGTGCTTTGCAGCAAATAAACACTGATCATGCCATTCTAACTTTGTCGTCACCTGGTGAGTTAGAGGTAAGATTACGGACTTACAACACTAAAATCCAGGGTTCGATTCTTCGCAGTGGAAAGAATGCAAATAACACTAATAAAACAATCAACACAGATAATCAGAATCAGGCGGGAATTCTTATATCTATAGTTTACTTCTAAAATTGGAAATGGGGAATATGAATGTAACCCTTAAGGGGAAGTTTTCTTATCAATGGTAAACCTTCTGTCATCTTAACATGTCTAATTCAGAACGATGGTAAACCTTCGGTCATCTTAACACGTCTAATTCAGACCAATGGTAAACCTTCGGTCATCTTAATATGTTTCATTCAGGCTGATGGTAAACCTTCGGTCATCTTAACACGTCTAATTCAGGCTGATGGTAAACCTTCGGTCATCTTAACATGTCTAATTCAGAACGATGGTAAACCTTCGGTCATCTTAACACGTCTAATTCAGACCAATGGTAAACCTTCGGTCATCTTAATATGTTTCATTCAGGCTGATGGTAAACCTTCGGTCATCTTAACGTGTCTAATTCAGGCTGATGGTAAACCTTCGGTCATCTTAACACGTCTAATTCAGGCTGATGGTAAACCTTCGGTCATCTTAACACGTCTAATTCAGGCTGATGGTAAACCTTCGGTCATCTTAACACGTCTAATTCAGGCTGATGGTAAACCTTCGGTCATCTTAACACGTCTAATTCAGACCGATGGTAAACCTTCGGTCATCTTAACACGTCTAATTCAGACCGATGGTAAACCTTCGGTCATCTTAACACGTCTAATTCAGACCGATGGTAAACCTTCGG